CACACACACACACACACACACACACACACACACACACACACACACACCCTGCCCACTCCCCACAGGAACGCCAACAAAAAATATTTGGATTAGTTACAAGAAACTAAGATGATTAAGGAATTAGGTTCTTAGAAATAAAATTAAAAAAAATTATCCCACCATGTAAACATGTGCAAATGACATTATACTTACAGTGAGAGGAACAGGGTCTTGGAAAGCCAGGCTCATTTCATGGCAGTAAAGAAAAAGAAGCAGGCGTTCACATTTCTAATGGAAAACACAAATAAAGGGTGAAGGCATCGCTTTTCATCTAAAAGAATTTACATGTCTCAGAATAAAAATTAACACCCAAGGAATACATAAGAAACACTGAATTTTTGGTTTTGCTTTCTCTCAGAATTAGCGGACAACTTCAGAGAATATGGATGAGAGCCCCTGAAATTATCAGTGAATAAACCAATCATATGAGAAAATACGCATTTCAAGTTTCTCAAGATGAATCCCCCTCCCCTACCACTCCAGTCTGTATTGTGCGAATCAGCAGTCATTGAAGGTAGCTCACATGTTTATTAAGCAATGGGACGGTACAGCCTTTTCCACGGTAAGGCCTGTCGTAAAGCCCCTTCCTGCAAACAGAGATGTCCTGTTATTTTTATTTGTTTTTTGAGATGTCCTGTTATGAGTTCTGCTACATCCTCCTTCAGGGCTGGTGAACGCCTGCCTCCCACTGCACATATACAGTGAATGGCACTGAGTGCAGGGTCCCTTCTTAAATGCCAATTTTCATACTGTTTTTTATATATATATATATATATATATATATATATATATATATATATATATTCTTTAGAAATTCATATATGTATTCTTTAGTAATAAATACATATATATATATTCTTTAGTAATAGAAATTTTGCGAAATAAATTTTCATATGGCCAAGGTATAGAATTATTTCCAGGAACATTAAATAAAAAAATAAATCTGTCAATTCTCAAAAGATTCTGAAAAAAAAATTAATCAGTGATAAAAATGAAACAAGACAGAAATTAAGGTAGACAAAAATTTTTGTTTGTTTGTTTTTTTTGAGATAGGTTTTTCCCTGTGTAGTCCTGGCTGTCTTGGAACTCAACTCTGTAGACCAACTCAAACTCACAAAGATATACCTGCTTCTGCCTCCCAAGTGGGAGTGCTTGGACTGAAAGTGTGTGCCACCACCACCCAAATGGTAGACAAAAGCTCACACTAAAGCTATGCATGGTAGTTCAGGCCTGTAATCTAGTACTTGGGAGGTTGAGGCAGGATTGCTGTTTGATGACAGCCTGAACTAACAGTGACAACTTGTCTCAAAAACAACAACAACAAAAACAAAACAAAATTAAACAAAATCAAAAACAATAAAAACAAACCAAACAAAAACAAAAAAATAAGACTGGGCATGGTGGCCATAATCACATGTACTTGGAATTCAGAGCCAAGTGAATCCAAGGGTAGAATATGCTACACATAGGAGTTCTAAACTAGCCTGGGCTAGTCCTTGTCTCTCCCTTGCCCCTCCCCTCCAAAAAAAAAAAAAAAAAAAAAAGAAAAAGAAAAAGAAAGCCAAGATTTAGGTGGACTGAAGAAGAAATGGCTCAGTCAGGAAAGAGGGGAACACCTGAGCTGAATCCCAGGATGGAACGTAGGGAGCTGCGGGTGCCAGCATACACTTGTAATACCAGAAGCAAAGAGGTGGAAGTGGTGGAACCTTAGGGCTCACTGCCCAGGCAGCCTACCCTACTCCCTAAACTCAGGAAAGTAAGAGATGATGTTAAAAAAGATTTATTGATATCAAAGCAGTGTCTCCAAATAACACCCAAGACTGTCTTCTAGTGCTCTCCCTCCCAACCCAAAGCCCAGCTCTGTCTACAAAGAACATACAGTTATTTCTGTTGAAGTATGGTATTTTAAACTTGTAGCTAATATAGGTTTTGTTGTTTAATTAAGAAGTTATGGTTCAGTGGATCAAGTGTTTCTCTGTGCAAGCACAAGGACCTGGATTTGTATCCCTAACACCCAAGCAAAAAAGCCAGGAATGGTGGCATCCACCTGTAACTTAAGTGTGGGGGAGGAAGAGGAAACAATTGAATTCCAGGTACTTGCTGGCTAGTCAGTTTAGCACAGTGAGCTCCAGGTTCAGCAACAGGCCCTGTCTCAAAAGTAAGGTGGAAAGCAAAAAGGAAGGTATGTTAGGTCAACCTCTGGTCTTCATATTTAGAGGCATGGATGAGAGCAGGCACACATGTGCACATTCACACACACATTCACACACACACACACACACACACACACACACACACACACACACACA